GTGACCAGAGATTGTACCACTGCACTCCAGCCTGGGGGACCGTGTGAGACTCCATTTTAAAAAAAAGGATGAAAGGAAGGGAGGGAGGGAGGAATGGAGGAAAGGAAAAAGAAAAAAGAAAAGCTTAAAGGTTACCAGTGTAGTTGGAGGTGGAACTAGGGAGTTACTGCTTAATGGTTACCAAGTTTTTCTATTTGGGGTGATGGAAAAGTTTGGAAATAGTGGTGACAGTTGGTACAACACTGTGAATCTTAATTAATGCCACTGAATTGAACACTTAAAAATGATTAAAATGGAAACTTGTATGCTCTGTATCTTTTACCACAATAGAAAACATTCTGAATAAGCAATAGATAATCTTAGCTGAAGAGAGTAAAATTACCCGAAGAAGGGCCAGTCCTGGAAAACCTAGGACCTATGCCCACCATTCACACTGAAAGCAGTTCCTGAATAAGGCACTTGTGGAAAATGAGTCTCTGTTCGCATCTCTCTGTGGATTTTCAAGGGTGACTGTGTAAGCCTAGGCTGGCTGCCAGCGTTCCATGCCCACCTGCCGCAGGTGCTGTTATTATGGGTTGTTGTAAGAATTAAATGAGAAATTCACTTGGCACCTTTATCTCATGACGTGCCATTAGTAACTGTCCAATCAACTGGCGTTACAAATTTAAAAGCCTGTCTGTGATAAAGACAATGGTGAAGCCACTTCCTCTCATGGCGACCCAGGGGGACACTAACCCTGGACCCCAAAGTCTGAAGCGGTCAGAAGGGCCTAAGGAGGTGAGCTGCCCGGCCTCAACGACCAGAACAAGCCAGGCCACGCTTTTCCCAGTGCCCTTTAGCCCTCAGTAGCTGCCCAGAGAAGATCTAGCCGCTTAAAAAAATCAACCAGTAATTCTATCTACTCGGGAGGCTGAGGCACAGGAATCGCTTGAACCCAGGTGAGGGAGGTTGCAGTGAGCTGAGACGGCACCACTGCACTCCAGCCTGGGTGACAGAGTGAGACTCCGTCTCAAAAAAGAAAAAAAAAAAAATCAGCCAAAGTCCAATATAATTAGGAAGGAGAGTCTGGGCCAGAAAAAAGAAATGTGTGAGGGGTGACATTCCAAGGCCAAATTGGTAAGAGTTCGCAATTCTCTGTGAAAGAATGCAAAGTCCTCTTGTAATTATAATGACGGTAGTTTTCAGTCACCTTCAGCAGGGCTGATAATTGACTCGCTGCAGCTTGCCTCATTTCTCTGTCATTGCTGGGGAATGAGGTGTTTTAAGTGAATTTTCTAGATAACTGAAGCTTATCCCTGTGAACCCTAATATTGTTTTTTTCGTTTAATCACTCTGGGGAGGAATTTCTCTGAAATGAATTACACACTTCTCTGCTTCCTTAATCAGAATATTCTACATTAAATGTAACTTCTTCCTGTCAATTTGGATAGGAGAGGCTATTTGCCCCTGTATTAATGGTTCTAACTTACTTGGCTTTTTTGTGTGTGTCTACACGTTTCCTATTTCCATGGTTTCTTACTGTGACACAGAGCTCTTGCTCATATATTTTTAGGAGCCCCATAGAACATGCAGACTTTGGCCAGGCACGGTGGCTCATGCCTGTAATCACAGCACTTTGGGAGGCCGAGGCAGGCGGATTACCTGAGGTCGCGAGTTCGAGACCAGCCTGCCAATATAGTGAAACCCAGTCTCTACTAAAAATGCAAAAAATTATCCAGGTATTATGGCGGGGGCCTATGATCCCAGCTACTCAGGAGGCTGAGGCAGAAGAATCACTTGAACGCAGGAGACGAAGGTTGTGGTGAGCTGAGATCACATCACTGCACTCCAGCCTGGGCAACAGGAGCGAAACTCTATCTCAAAAAAAAAAAAAAAAAAAAATGCAGACACAAACATACACATGTGCCTATACATACACACTCACATGCCAGTCTATATTGTGAAGAAGCAGAGTGCCAGGTTTAATCGAATTGTGTTTACATCCTTCTATAATGCCCTGAGCCACCCTTACTAGAGGACTTTCGTAGTGTACCATGAACGCTGCTCCAGCATTTCTGCCCCTACTCGACTGTGCACCCCAACAGGGCAGAGCGCTTTCTGGCACTAGCAGCTCCTTGGTAAATGTTTTTGAGTGGACAAGCAGAAGAATGAAAACACCCGTGTTACCACGTGGACTTTATGACAACTTTCTAACTTCCTTATCAGAAGCCTAGTTTTGCTTCCTACTGGGTTTTTGCTGCGTCAGAAAGAACAGAGGTCGTTTGATAAGCAAAGCATAACTGTACGCCCTGGGATGCACCAAGAACAAACTGGCTTTAGGCTCCAACAGTTTCATACAGAGCCAAGGTTTCAGGGCAGTAACTGCAGCTCCAACAAATGAAGGGAATTCCTTGTGCTGGATCCTGAGATGATTCACAGTGATGAACAGAGAAGAAGTGGCCGGTCTCTGAGGCATACCTGACCTGTGCTTTGTGGCTGCCACCTTGTCCCCAAGGCCACCTCTACATTTCAGTCTTTGGACTCACCCTCTAGAAAGTGTCACATGACCTGCTGTGGAGAGAGCTAGAACCAGGAGACCTGGGCCTGCCCTTGCTGCAACCTCAGGCAGTCACTTAACTTCTCTGACCCTCTATTTCTCCATCTATGACATGGGAACCTAAGAAAGCCTAACTTACGCAGTTGTTGTGAGGATTACATTTTAGTCATGTATGCAGCACTTCTAGGATGGTGCCTGGCACACAGGGAGCTTTTAAAATGTGGTTGTCGTTATTATTATATTAGAGTCACACCTTACAGATGATAAACTGTGTGAATTCAACTACACGTTCTTGACAACTAAAAGAGAAACGGTACCACAGATAATTCTGCCAGTCCTTCTGCTCACTGGGTATGTGTCCCAGAGAGAGGATGAGGTGGAAGGTGCTGGACTGCTGGATACTCAGTCACCCTCCATCCCGTGGGCCTTTTGTTTTTGGAGACAAAGTCTTGCTCTGTCGCCCAGGCTGGAGTGCAGTGGCAAAATGTTGGTTCACTGCAACCTCTGCCTCCCGGGTTCAAGCAATTCTCCTGTCTCACCCTCCCGAGTAGCTGGGACTACAGGCGCACACTGCCACACCCAGATAATTTTTTGTATTTTAGTAGAGACGGGGTTTCACCATGTTGCCCAAGCTGGTCTCGAACTCCTGAGCTCAGGCAGTCCACCCGTCTCAGCTTCCCAGAGTGGTAGGATTACAGGCGTGAGCCACAGCGCCCAGCCATCTGTGAGCCTTTTTCAATGTGAGTGGAGGCTGTAGCTATGAATGGACTTAATGTTTGCCTTACTCACTGTTACACCAAGTGGAAAATATAGAGTGAGACTCATTTATAATTTGACAGCTCCGTTTGTGTGTGTGAATACTTGCGCCACAGAGGAAGAAGGGATGACCCAAGATAGGGTGATGGGCGTTCCAGGCCTCGGTGGTTCTGTCTGCTAAAGGATGACGGGCAGGCTCCATGACATTGACCACTTGACCCTGGCCAGTAGGTGGGAGGGACATGTGAGGGACTGGTAGGGCTGGTGGAGCGATCCTTCCACCAACCTTCAGCCCCCAAAGACCACATGCACTCAGTGGCCACACTGGAACCTTGTACCCTGTACACCCCCAACACTTGAATGCCACTGTGTCTTTGCATATATTGTGCCTACCCCAGTGACACCTTCCCAATCCCGCTCACCTGCCCCCTTTCCTCTCTGAGCCTCTAAACCCTAGAAACCTAGAGCACACAGAGCAACAGATAATCTTGGTGACTGGTCATTCCAGTTTGCCCAGGACTGAGGGATTTTCCGGAACGTGGAAGTTTCGGTGCTGAAAGCAAGATGGTCGCTCACCCTATTAGGCAAACAAGTGAGACATCCTTTACAGCCCACTCGAGATGGCTTCTGTTTTAGGAAGTCTGGCCTGATCTCCTTAGCTGGGAGCAATCACTCTTTCCGTTGAACTTCTCCCAGAATATAGCGTTACGTGTGCGTGTCCATGTCTGAATTCCACACCCCACTCCCACCCCAGAATCTGGGGGAATGAGGCTGTAGCTGAGGACATCGTGTTATTGTGTGTCCCGTGCGCATCAGCGTGGGAGGTGGCAGCAGGCGGGGTGACCTATCTGGGGCTCTGCTAATCAGCCCCTTTCCATAGCCCTAGAGTGTGAATTTCTGCAAAACTGGCTCAGCTATCACTCTTTGAAACATTTAATTACATTTAAGATCTTGAAGGCTGTCTGTTAGCTCTCAGGGAAGCATTTCTTTTTCCTGCTCCTTCTGAAGCTGGCTGCTTGGAAAGTAATGAAATTGAACTGAAGCAACCAGGGGGCGTAGGCATTGCTGAAAGGAAGAAGCATGAGGAAGAGACGAAAAGGGCGGCGGGGAGGTAGAGCCAGGGAGGGGCAGGAAATATTCGCAGAGAGCGAGTGAGATGCATGAGGTGAGAAAACCAGCGCGCGTGGGGAAGAGGGAGAAAGGCGCAGGAGAGGTAGAGAAGTGGGAGCTGGCCTGGGTTAGGTCCGGCAGGTCCCAGGAAGAGGGGCAGAGTCACAGAGAAGACGTGGGGCAGATGGCAAAAGAAAGGGCCGGGCAGAAAGGAACGCAGAAAGGCAGCCGGCTAAGAGTTTAGCAGAGACGGAGGGAGGTCAACAGCTTGTGGCTCCAGGATTTCAGTACAGGAGAGGGGGCTTTGGCGCAGCCATTTGGTTGGAAGAGCATGGCCGGACCAGGAGATGGGTTCTGAAGCTGCCTTGAGGGAACAAGCTCTCTGCCCCCTTAGCCTGTGTGACAATTTGCGTGACTTGGTGGAAGAACTCGTGGAGCTTATGAGGCACCAAAGCTTCCACCCAGGCACCCCTTGCTGCCACCTGTCCAGCGAGGAGTGCTGCAAAGGTGGGAAGGCCGCATGGGCATCGGTTGCTGGCCTCTGCCCCAAGGACAGCCTTCGAGGCTCCTGATACCTGACTGTCCCCGTCTCTTGCAGGCTGTGACAGCGACCACTGGGGCCCCCACTGCAGCAACCGGTGCCAGTGCCAGAATGGCGCCCTCTGTAACCCCATCACAGGCGCCTGCGTGTGCGCCGCCGGCTTCCGTGGATGGCGCTGCGAGGAGCTCTGCGCGCCTGGCACCCACGGCAAGGGATGCCAGCTGCCGTGCCAGTGCCGCCACGGCGCCAGCTGTGACCCCCGCACCGGCGAGTGCCTCTGCGCGCCTGGCTATACCGGCGTCTAGTGAGTAATGCGATGGGCCTCGAGGGGTAGGCGGTCTGGAGGGGTGGGGGGCCTGGAGGGAGCTCGCCCCAGGCCTCCTTGTGGGTGGGCTGTGTGGTGGGACCAGGAGAGTCAGGGTAGTCTTGGCTGTGAAATCTCCTGTGAATCTAAATGCCCAGGATCACCCACGCAGGTCTCAGATTCCTGCCTTCCAGGCCCCTGTGGCTTGGTCCTTCCTGAGACTGTCGGAGTGAACACTCCCTAGAACCCTCCCAGGAGGCCCCTCCTGGCAGAAACAGCTCTTGGCTTAGAAGCCTCTTCTGACCTTACCCCATATGATGCTGCTCAGCTAGGGCCTTCCTTTCTAGGGCACTTGGGACAGAGAGCAGTCAGGGTCCTGGGCAGATATCATTTGCAGATTTGGGAGGGTTACTCCGCCTGTTCCTCACACCAATCAGCCCCCCACTCCAGTTCCCCAGAGAGCAGTATTGACAGGAGACTGAAGATCTCCTCCCAACCCTGTAGCAGGCTCTGTGGCCCCTCCAACAGCCTGGATCCTGAGGGGCGGCCAAGGACTCTAACCACAGAGACGTCGTTGATGGAGGGTATTCCCTGACCTGATGTCTAGCTGGCTCCCAAGTCCTAGTGAGCTAGAGGCCAGGGCCACTGGATGCAGGCCCAAGACTAAGACCCCATGCAAACCCTGCCCTGCACCTCCACAGCGCCCTGCACATGAGCCTGTCATGAGAGCTGGGAGCCTTCCCCAGCCTGGAATCTGGAAGGAACGTGCTCCAGATTCTTCCCCTCTATGCGTCTAGGCGGATTCTTGAAGACGGGATCCACGAGCACTTCCTTTTGCCTGGCATGCCTTGCCGTCCATTCTCCTGGTGAAATTAACTTCACCTTAAGGCCCAAGTAAAATGTCTTCCTCCCAGGGAAGCCTTCCTTGGCCTCCTCCCCAGGACACTCTTCTTTACACTAAGAACACCTCGGTCATCCCACAAGTATTGGCCCACGCACCCTCCATTCCAGTGTGTTCAGTCTGAGCCCTGCTTCCGCCTCCTGGCAGGGAGCAGGACTGCAGCTCAGCTGACGTGCCTAATACGGATCCTTTGACTGTGAGGGAATTCCCAGGGAGCCCTGGAGCACTGGGACCCTGCCACCTGACCTGAATGCTGCTGTGTCTAACACCTCTGCTTCTCCATGCAGCTGTGAGGAGCTGTGCCCTCCTGGGAGCCACGGAGCTCACTGTGAGCTGCGCTGCCCCTGCCAGAATGGGGGCACCTGCCACCACATCACTGGCGAGTGTGCCTGCCCCCCAGGCTGGACGGTAGGTGGCCCCACAGGATCTGGGTGGGGCATTGTAAGAGGCCTGAGAATTTGTCACTCACACACCTTAAAAGGCTAAATCGGCTGGGCATGCTGCTCATGACTGTAATTCTAGCACTTTGGGAGTTCAAGGCCTGCAGATCGCTTGCGGTCAGGAGTTCAAGACCAGCCTGGCCAAAATGGCGAAACCCCATCTCTACTAAAAATACAAAAATTAGCCAGGTGTTGTGGCACACACCTGTAATCCCAGCTACTCAGGAGGCTGAGGCACGAGAATCACTTGAACCCAGGAAGCGAAGGTTGCAGTGAGCCAAGATTGAGTTACTGTGCTCTAGCCTGGGCTCAAAAAAAAAAAAAATGCTGAATTCTTCTCCCACTCTGAATACCCTCCCGCCTATTTATCACCTTAGGGCATCACTAAATGCTGCCAGGGATGCCATGGACACAGCTTTGAATCCCAGGTCTGCCATCTCTAAGTGCTGTGTGGCCTGAAGCAAGTTACTCACCTCTCTAAGCCTGTAGTCTCATGTGCAAAGAAATTGAATTCTTTTAAGTTTGGCTGTCTTTGTGTGTAAACACCACCCACATGAGCTGCCATGGGCCCTGGGCCAGAGGTGGCAGAAAAGGCTGGGAAAAGAAGAGAAACAGCAGGTATGGATGACCCGAATTTATCTAACGTCAGCCCCTGTACTCGCGCGCACACACATTTGGATTCTGTGGGCCCCAGCGTTTGTATTTTAGCAAGTGCTGCAGGTGATTCTGATGCAGCCTCAAGCAGCCCAGGTCTCCCCTCTGGGGACAACCATTGTAGGAAAGGGATTTGTAACCTCATGGGTCTAAATTCAGGTCTCACATCCAATGTTAACCCTGAAAAGAGCCTCAATTACTCCGCTTCCCCAAGTACAGCACTGATGTACCACCCTGCCCTGCCTGGCCGCCATGGTTGGTGGCTGGCTCAGGTGAGGCTGTGCATGTCCAAAGTCCTTTGCAAACTCTGAAGCTCTCTATGATGGCTTGATTTCTATCCCTGGGTACCAGAGATCCTCTACAAGCCTCCTTTTAGCCAACACACCCTGCCTATCAGCGCCTCCCCTGCAGACCAAGTCCTTAGAGGCAGTGAGTCAGCTAGAGCTGACCTTCCTGGGCTGTGTCCTTGCCTCGGACTCTCCAGTAACACGCCCCATTTCAGGGGAAGCTCAGCGACACAGTCCTCCACCTCCCCTGGGGCTTGAGGCTTTGCAAAGCCAGAGAGGACAGGGCTGCTGAGCAGAAGCAGGATATTTGACGAGGCTGTGAATGCGGAGGTCAGAGGGACAGATGGGAGGACACGTGCAGGGCCCGTCGATGCAGGCACAGTCTTGTCAGAATGTTTTTAGGGCAGGAAAGGACCTTGAGGACCACTTGGTCCCACAGTATCCAAACCTGGCTGCACACCAGAGCGGACACGGGGCTGGCGGGGGATTCAAATGCAGATTCCCAGGTTCCATCTGCGACCTCCTGGGACCAGGGGATCTCTATTTTTAATAAGCTCCTCAGATGGTTCTGCGGCAGCCAGTCCTGACTGCAGGTCTGCATTGGGAAAAAATTGATCCAGACCATAGGATTTCCTTCTGTGTTTCACAGGACCCTAGGGTTTCTTGAGGGGGAATGGGGACAAGAGCTCAATCATTAGGACTCTGGGGCCCACGCCACCCCCACCTCTCCATTTGATCTATTTTCCATTTTGAGGTGCTCTAGATAAGATTCCACGTAAAAATCGGGTTTCCCAGCTTTAAGAGATCTGAACCCTCCTGGTCTGTCAATACCTTCCTTTCTCAGATGAGGACGCTGAGGCTCAGAGAGGGTACGAGACCTGTTCAAGGCCACACTGGTAGTTAGGAGTGAGGTGGACCTAGAATCCAGGTCTCCTGACTCCCAGCCCTGGGCATCTGTCTGTCCATCTGTCTGTTTTCTCTGAGGAAGAAAAAGGGACTGCTGCCACCTCTCCCATACCTGCCCATTTCTCCCACCCTAAACCAGTCTCTGGCAAGACCCTCTCATCTCCAACCAGCTTTCGGAAATTCACCCGGAGGCTGGGTCCTCAGAGGCCCAGCCGCAGCAGAGAGGATGGATCAGGATGTGGTCGGGAGAGCAAGGCCACAGCAGCCCCGTGCCTATAAAGGCCTCTCTGGAGACGCTGCTGAGGCTCTGGTGGTCAGAGGGGGAAGGTGGGAAGCTAACACGTGCAGGGATTGTATTTCTCCCCAGCACAGCGAGAGGTTTGTTCTTCCAGATGACAGAAAACTGTGTCATTAGAAGCCTTTGGATTTGAGGACTTTATGTTTTTAATTTTATTGTAGACAATTGCATTTCTATTTTCGACATAGCATTTAACTTGCAGATTTGTATGAATTATTAATACCCCTTGTGCATGCACAGTCACCGTATAATGAAGTCACACTCATGCCTGAGGCTCCTCCCAGGGAGAGCTGGAACCAAGGAATGGATACTGGGGAGAAGGCTCCCCACTTGAGCATCCCCTGGTGCCTGACTGTCCCACAGTCATACAGTGGGCCCTGTGTGACTTCGACCTCACATTTTCCAACTCAGAGATAAAAAGATTGGAGATTCGCACCATGCACCTCCCCAAAGGCCAGGCCATTGTGTGAACTGGAGAGAGGAGCTGCCAGGAACTCTGGCCCTCCAGGCCCCTCCCCAGAGATTCCTGGCCACCAGGCCCTGAGCATGCACACGGGATGGTCCAGCCCAACATGAAGCCTGATTCAGTAGCGGTCTTTGCAAAAGAGCCTGGGGAATCATTTCCCCTCTTTTTCTGAACTCTGAGACCTTGCAAAGCAGAGAAGCCAGGTGTGAGTAGTTTGATGTGAGTGGGCACTAGAGACAGACAGGGAGAAGGAAATAGGATTGACATTCCACACCCTTAGGAGTCCCCAGCCTGATGCTGGGGGCTGGATACAGTGTGTCTGTGCCCACATGCATACACACACACAGGAAAGAGACTGGAAGAGAGGAGACGGGGGGGCTGGGAAGTAGGACTACTTATCCTAGAGGGCCAAAGAGAGGTTTTGCATGGTGAAATCCTCTCTCTACTAAAAACACAAAAAATCAGCCAGGGGTAGTGATGGGCCCCTGTAATCCCAGCTATTCAAAGGCTGAGGCAGGAGAATCACTTGATCCCAGGAGGTGGAGGTTGCAGTGAGCCAAGATTGTGCCACTGCACTCCAGCCTGGGCGACAGAGGAAGACTCTATCTCAAAAAAAAAAAAAAAAAAAAAAAGCAGAGGTTTTGGAGCCGAGGCTATAGCATCAGAGATGCTCAGGTTTGAGAAGGAAGATTCATGGAGCCCCACTTCCAGGCCCGTGGCCTAGATCACCTTCACAGCACCCACACCAACCACAGCTCCCAGTCCCTTGAGGGTGTCCATGCCACCCTGGAGCATCACTGGTTGTTAGAAATGCCTTCAGGTGCTTGGAGAGGCTGAGGTGCCTCCCTCCAGGAGAACCAGCATGGCCTTCTGTCCTTCCCCCGTCTTGGCCTCTTCTCTTCGTATGTTCCATTTAGCCAAGATCCTTTTAAAGTGTGACTGTTTTCCAGATTTTGACAAAGCCATGTGGTCTAACGAGTTCTGAGAGGAGCAGAAAGTGTCCCCTTACCCCATGTCTACTTGACACAGCAGTCCAAGGTCCCACTACAATTGGAGATACATACTCAGCTGACCACAGGGCAAATACACAAGTCCTCTGGGGCTGCCATAACAAGGTGCCACAGACTAGACAGCATGAACAACAGAAACTGATTCTCACAATGCTAGAGGCTGGAAGTTCAAGATCAAGGTGTCAGCAGGCTCCTTTTGAGCCACTTTCCTTGGCTTGTAGATGGCCATCTTCCCCCTGTGTCTCCATGTAGTCTATTTTCTGGGTCTGTCTGAATCACCTCTTCTTGTAAGGACATGAGTCATAGTGGATGATGGCCCACCCATATGACCTCAACCTGATTACCTATGCAAAGATTCTAGCTCCAAATGCAGTCACATTCTGAGGTACTGGATGTTAAAACTTGAACCTACGAATGTTGGCTGGGCACAGTGGCTCACACCCATAATTCCAGCACTTTGGGAGGCCGAGGAGGGGGTGGATCACCTGAGGTCAGGAGTTCAAGACCAGCCTGGCCAATGTGGTAAAACCCCATTTCTACTAAAACTACCAAAAATTAGCCAGGTGTAGTGGTGGACGCCTGTAGTCCCAGCTACTCAGGAGGCTGAGGCAGGAGAATCGCTTGAACCTGGGAGGCAGAGGTGCAGTGAGCTGAGATCATGCCATTGCACTCCAGCCTGGGCAACAAGACCAAAACTCTGTCTCAAAAAAAAAAGTTTTTTTCAAGAGTGTCCTTATCCAGCCCAGGACTGTAGAAGACTGAGTCAGACAGAAGCCAGAAGGACTTTCCTTCCCTCATGAATACCTAGAACTTATAATGTGCACTGAGAAAGACAGGCCCCTGCCATGCCTGGGGTACCCCCACCACCTCCAGGAGGAAGAGGGACCCCTATTCTGAGTGAGTTTTATTATTATTATTATTATTATTATTATTATTATTATTATTTGAGACAGAGTCTCGCTGTGTTGCCCAGGCTGGAGTGCAGTGGCACGATCTTGGCTCACTGCAACCTCCACCTCTCGGGTTCAAGCGATTGTCCTGCCTCAGCCTCCCAAGTAGCTGGGATTACAGGTGCCTGTCATCATGCTGGGCTAATTTTTGTATTTTTACCAAAAATCCCTCCCAAAGTGCTGGGATTACAGGCATGAGCCACTGCACCTGGCCTGAGTGACTTTTCTCTCCATTCTTCTCTCTCACTCTCTCTGTCTCTCTCTGTCTCTCTCTCTCTCTCTCTCTCTCTCACTGTCTCACCCTCCTCTCAGCTCCCCTACTTCTGACTTGTGTATGGAGAGTCTGAGTTTAACAGCCCCCTATTTAATTCATTACAAGTAAATTGAATGATCTTGAAAGATGACTCTGGTCTGGCAGAATTTTCCTAACTAAAGTAGCTTCTGCAGGGTTGGCAATTATTGGTGCTTAATAATTGTGTGTTGAACTAATTGATTAATTAATTAGAGGAACATCCTTGAACTCCAGAAGAGAAATGACTGTCGGGTGTGAGGGGGGCTGGAAGGGCAGCAGGAGTCAAGAGCAGGCTCAGATTTGTGAGTTAAAGACCTAAGACTTGTGTAATTTTAAGTGATATAATACCACAAGGCTAATACTGGGAGGAGGGGGAGTCCCCTACTCCATTTACAAATCCTACTCCCTAAAGGCAACTACTCTCAAATCTTTTAGGTATTTCTCCTGGAATTTCCCTCCATTTTTCTACATAACATGCTTTATAGCTGTTTCTTGACTTTTCCATTTTAGTCATTGAATCCGCTGACTTCCTGACATAGAATAAGATTCAGCTCTGCCATACACACACATACAAACACAAGCAACTCTTCTCCCACACTTCCCAATGGAGTTATATTACAATTTGTGGTTAAATTATTGAAAAAAATATTTAAGACACGGGATCTGGCTGTGTCACCCAGACTGGAGGGCAGTGGCTATTCACAAGCACGATCATAGCTCACTTTCAGCCTTGAACTCCTGCACTCAAGCTATCCTCCTTCCTCAGCCTCCTGAGTAGCTGAGACTACAGACAGGGGCCACCATGCCCAGCTTGGTTAAATTATATTTTAATATTTGTTAATATACACATGTATTGTTACTAATTTATCCTTAAAACTCTCTGACGGAGCTCTCAAACTCCTCTCAGTAAGGTCAGATGCATCAGAAGTCTCTCTGTTTGGCCTGGTGTGGTGGCTCATGCCTGTAATCCCAGCACTTTGGGAGGCCAAGGCCAGCAGATGACCTGATGTTGGGATTTCGAGACTAGCCTGACCAAAATGGAGAAAACACCATGTCTACTAAAAAATACAAAATTTGCCATGCATGGTGGCACATGCCTGTAATCCTAGCTATTCAGGAGGCTGAGGCAGAAGAATCGCTTGAACCCAGGAGGCAGAGGTTGCGGTGAGCCGAGATGGTGCCACTGCACTCCGGCCTAAGCAACAAGAGTGAAACTCTGTCTCAAAAAATTTTTAAAAAGCCGGACGTGGTGGCTCAAGCCTGTAATCCCAGCACTTTGGGAGGCTGAGGCGGGTGGATCACGAGGTCGAGAGATCGAGACCAGCCTGGTCAACATGGTGAAACCCTGTCTCTACTAAAAATACTAAAAATTAGCTGGGCATGGTGGCGCGTGCCTGTAATCCCAGCTACTCAGGAGGCTGAGGCAGGAGAATTGCCTGAACCCGGGAGGCGGAGGTTGCGGTGAGCCGAGATCGCGCCATTGCACTCCAGCCTGGGTAACAAGAGTGAAACTCCGTCTCAAAAAAAAAAAAAAAAATTTAAAAAATCTACCCATTTTTTGCTTTTGTTTTCGAGGCAAGTTTCGTAGAAGCCTGCGTCTTCTGTTCCAGTCTGAACTCTGCTCTCCAGGCCTGCAGCATAGCTGTCATGTGGGATTCCTTTCACCACCATCCTGGGATTCCTTTCACCCCCTCTTCTGTTAGAGTCCCTAGTTCCTAAAATTCATGACTTTCTTTCTCTTGGGTAATTCTTTCTGATGGGAAAAAAAAAAAAAAATCCTCCAGTAGCTTTCTGAGAAAGTGTTTACGGAAGGTTAACTTTTTGAGGCTGTTCAAATCTGAAAATGTCTTTATTGAATCCCTCACTTGAGTGTTAGTTTAGTTGCGTGTAGAATTCTAAGTTGGAACTAATATTTTTCCTCTGGATTTGTAAGGCATTGCTCCATTGTCTTCTGGCTTCTAGTTAAGTCTAAAACCTTTAATTTCTGATTTTTGTATGTTGTTTTTCTCTGTTTTCATTTTGATTGGTTTCTGTAGAGATGAGATCTTGCTTTGTTGCCTAGACGTTGTTTGTTGCCTAGATGTTAGAGACCAGGGGCTGGTCTCCAACTCCTGGGCTCAAGAGATCCTCCCACCTTGGCCTCCCAAAGTGCTAGGATTACAGGCACGAGCCACCACACCTAGCCTGTTTTTCTCTTTCTAAAAACTGTGAACATCATTTCTCTATCCATAGAGATATAAAAGTTTACGATCACACGCCTTGATGCAGGTCTTGTTTCATTTTGTTGCTGGAGACTTTGTAGGCCTTTTCAGTTCAGAAACCCAGGCTCTCCATCCTTCCATTCGGGGAAATTTTCTTTTATTATATTTTTCATTAATTGACTTACCTCCATTTTCCCTGTTCTACTGCCTGGCACTCCTGTTAATTTGATGTCAGACTACCTGGATTGGTCCTCTGATTTCATTATATTTTCTCTGTTATTTTAAATCTCATCTGTCTGTCTCTCTCTCTCTCTCTCTGGTGTACTTTATAGGAGATTTCTTGTGCTTTATCTTTTGGCTCTTCTATTGCAACATTTTAACTTCTCCATATTATTTTTAATTTTCAAGACTTCTGTTCTGTGGATATCCTCTTTTATAGCACTCTTATTTATTCTTAGGTGCAATACTTTCTTACTTTTTTTAATTTTTTTTTTACTTTTTTCTGCTACTAGGTCAGTGCAAAAGTAAGGTGCAATACTTTCTTATAGCTACCTGAGCATGTTCATTTTAATTAAGATAGAGGCTTTTTTCCTTCTTCTTCTTTTTTTTTTTGGCTTTTCCTTGCTCCAGGCATGGTTCTTATTTCCTCTGTGTTCCTGTTGTCTATTTGTTTATTTCAGTGTTTCTCTTTCATGTGAGGGCCTATTTCAAATATCTGGTGAGCCTTGGCCATCTGTTCATGTTTCACAGCAAGCCTCAGAAAAGCTAATTGGACACCTGGGGGTGGAGGGAGATGTTGACTGATGGGACCCTCAACTATCAATATCTTTAGGTCATTTCTCTTGAGCTCCTCAGTGTCCCTAGAAAGGAATCCTCTAGCCTCCTGCCACAGGGAGTCCAGTCCCTCAGTCAGCCTTCTGGCAGCGCAGTGGGGAAGACAGCTGCAGGAGAGTCCCACCCCCACCTTCCTCTGTGCCTGTGTTCCTTGTCCACAGCCTGTGAGACCAACCTCTCTGAAAGATGCGGGCAATTCACCTGGCTTTTCAAGGTGGGGGCAGAGATTGGGGGTCCAATTCCCTATTTTATAAACTTTCAAACAGTCCTCTTTTCATCATACCTTCACCTTCACCTTCAGAGGGTCCCAGTGTCTCTGATTCCTGAGCTTTCTGAGGTACGAAGGACTTCATTGCCCAGCATTGGGACACTCCCTTTGCAGGCACTTAGCATTGCCCAGGAAGCAGAAAGCAAAGCAGTTAGCGCCGCTCCACCTGCTTTCCATCTTCCAGTGTGTGACATCTCCAGTCTCCTCTTCCTCTTTTCCTTGTAGGTTTATACCTTTACCCGTTTAATGTCATGTCAGCTGGGTTTGGGAAAGAAGTCGGGCAAAGTGCACGTCTCCACAGCAGCATGTTTACTCAGCCTCCTCAGTGCTTTACTGTGTACCCATGTGAGAGTACTTACTGCCTTGTACTTAGTCCCTAAATTGTGCTGAATAACTGGATGAGCAATTTGGCCTCAGTCTCCCACCTCTAAGAGGAGGGCTTTGGAGCTCTGGTGTCCAGCTGTCTGTACTTCTTCTGGGAAGTTGGGTGGTCCCTGGGGCCACAGCAGCTGTGCCATTCCCGGGAGAGTTTGGCATCTCTGGGGCACCACCATGCATGTCTTCCCATCTCTATTTCAGGGAGCAGTGTGTGCCCAGCCCTGCCCACCAGGGACATTTGGCCAGAACTGCAGCCAGGACTGTCCTTGCCACCATGGAGGACAGTGTGACCACGTGACTGGACAGTGCCACTGTACAGCTGGATACATGGGGGACAGGTAAGGATGGCGTTAACTGTTGTCTTTGCTGTCCATTTTGCTCATATTCACAGAAGGGTTGTAGAGAACAGCTCGTAGCCCTCTCTCTGTCAGCCTTCCAGCTCCTTTCTCAGAAAGCATTCTGAGCTCTCCTGCCAGGGAGAGCCAGCAACTGATGCCTCCTTGCCCTCAGCCTGCAGAGCAGACCAGCACACCCTCTTCTTTAGCCTAGTGGCCCACGCCCTGAATTTGCATGGGCTCAGTTGGGGGAAGGAGGTGAGCACCTGCCCCCACTCTCGACTCTTTGCGCTCGTGGAGGGAGGCAATGGCACAGACAATCCAAGCAAGCTGAGAGGACAAAATCACTTCACGTGTTTTGCATGATTTCTTCTGGAAGGGGATTTTTAGTCCTAATTTGCGTCTCCAACAAAAGGACACTGGCATCAGTTTGCATCCTCTGAAGGCCTGCAGCCTAACCGCAGACTGAAGGAGGGCACCAGTGTCCTGGAAGGAAACCAGCCTCGCAGAGTGGATAATCAAAACCCACAGAACTGGGTAATCACCGTACCTGCACATGTGCCCCAGTTGGAAGGAGGATCCCGTGTTGACAGGGCAGGCGCAAAGGAAAAGGGAGAAAGGACAACCAGTGTGTGTGAGGGTGAGGAGCCTGCGAGCTGGAAAAAGATACTTGAAATCCACAGAACCCGGGCCAAGTCTCCTTCCTCTCGCTCTTGACCACATGGGTCTCTTCAAACAGAGAGAAGGGCGGCACAGAGGTGGCCCCCACACCCATTGCCTGGTTCCGTGGGGATCCATGTTTCATTTCTGGCTCCTGGATTGTATACTTTTCTCAGACAAAATGAGGGAACATTTTTCATCCTTCCCTGCCTGAGTGACATCAGGGCTGAGTTAACCAGTGAGTCCCTCCACCTCTAATAGACAAAATCGGGGCTCCTCTGGCTCACCCTAGAATCAGCCCCAAATCCTTAGTGATGTCTAGAAAAGAGATTGTCCATTACCCTTGGGCTTATTTGCCTCCAGCTGGAAGTCTTTTAAGCCAGATCTGATCTCTTTGTGATCCCGTGTTCATCTACATGTGCTTCCCCAGCATAGAACATGGGGTGTAGCATCTGGGGACCCCTCCCTCCCTGAGCCGTGAGAGGGAGGACTGAAACACTAAGCACGTGTTCCCATCCTCACCATCTCCTCAAATCGGGAAATGCTCAGGATGAGCCAGCATGGACCGGAACCAGCACAGGATTCCTTTGTCAGACCACTTTCTCATGAGACTGCAAACTGCCCACTTGTTGGAAAGGGCTCCAGCCAGCTGGACTCCACACAAGTAGACCCTATCAGGCATCCCCAAACTTTTTACACAGGGGGCCAGTTCACTGTCCCTCAGACCATTGGAGGGCTGCCACATACTGTGCTCCTCTCACTGACCACCAATGAAAGAGGTGCCCCTTCCTGAAGTGTGGCAGGGGGGCCGAATAAATGGCCTCAGGGGGCCGCAGTTTGGGGATGCCTGATCTAGCTCATTGGTGCTCTCGATTTTCACTGTCAAGAAGTGCCAAGTAGAGAGAGAATCCACGGCCGGGTACGGTGGCTCACGCCTGTAATCCCAACACTTTGGAAGTCCAAGTCGGGCGGATCACAAGATCAAGAGATCGAGACCATCCTGGCCAACATGGTGAAACCCTGTCTCTACTAAAAATATAAAAATTAGCTGGGCGTGGTGACACGCACCTGTAGTCCCAGCTGCTCGGGAGGCTGAGGCAGGAGAATCACCTGAACCCGAGAGGTGGAGGTTGCAGTGAGGCAAGATTGCGCCACTGCACTCCAGCCTGGCAACAAACAAGACTCCATCTCAAAAAAAAAAAAAAGAGAGAGAGAGAGAGAGAGAGAGAAAGAGAGGGAGAGAGAGAGATTCCAAAAATCTCTGCTTGTTGGAGCCTGGTGCGTAATCCTGGGCAGAGAGGAACCCTTAAAGCCAAAGGGCCTTCTAGAAAGCTTTGCCAATCAACCACATGAGAGTTCATGGGAGGCCATGTAGCATTTGGGCTTCTCACCTAAACGGGCTGCCTGGTGTTTAATATTTTGTAAAATTGCCTCCATTAATTTCGTAGGTGACAGCTGCATTAACCCACCCCAGATCATCACAAGCATATTAAAGTTGAGTGGGTGTAATAATGCAGGCCTCCTCGGATAGGCAGAAACCAGTGCAAATTAAACATGAAATGTAAGGAGGGCTTTGCAGCTCATTTTGTAATTTAATTGAGCAATGTATCTGGTTGTTAATGGCAATATCGGACACATTAGATTGATATGGTGCAAAGGAAGGATGTTTAAGTAGAAAACTAATTCCTGCTGTGATTACCCTTCTGTTCCACAGGCCCAGTTATTAGCATGCTTTGTGTAAAATTCATTAGCAGTCGTTGCTTGATCTCTAAATAAATAAGTTGTTTAAATTGTGAGTAGAAAAAAAAAAAAGAGGCTGATTATGTAAATGAATTAGGTCGTCAATATTTCATTTCCAGATTGTTTTTCTGGGGCTGTAGATCGTCACCCCCCAAAAAATAGTGGGCTAGGGAATTGCCCATCAGAGGAGCTTAGGGTTCGGGGCTCTGCTTGGTCCTGCTAGGCAGGAGGGAGCAGGAATGTTTGAAAATAAACAGGTATCAGGAGGTGTCTGGTTGGAGTTTTTTTCACCTGACATCTGAGGTATTTGAGGCCAACAAAGCACAGAGACTTCTGGAGAAATCTACTTGCAGGCTGAACAGGAGCTGGCAATTCAGATAGTGATTATTCCGGTCTTCAGCTGCCCTTTTTCCTCCCCTTCTGCCTCAGTTTCTCTCCTTTCCTTCCCCCATTCTACTTCTCCTCCTCCACCTTCCACTTTCCTTCTGCAGACATCGCCTTCTTTCTTGCCTCTTCTTCCCTCTCTTTTCTAGTCTCATTTCCTTCATGAGGCCTCAGATTGGCTGACCTGCAGTGAGATTTGCAGGAAGACAGTCTGGGGTCGTCTTAGCCACATGCAGGCTGCGTGAGCTCGGAAAAGTTGCCTCACTTGTCTGATGGCAGCCTCCTTAATGCCAAAGGGAGGGTGATGAGAATATCTGGTGCTTCAGGGGCTGGGGACAGGCTCTGGAGCCTGAGCAGCTGGAAGCCCCTCGCTCCACAGTGCCCAGGGGCGTTATCACCATGACCCCTGCTGCCCCTCTATGCTGCTGGGTCACTCCTTTGCCACAGTGGCTCTGAGAGGGAGAGCTGGGGCATCTTCTTGGGAAGGAAGCACTCAAGGCCAGACCCCAGTCACTCTTCTCCTTGTCATTGTGGGCACAGAGCAATGAAGGCAGAGGACAGAGACAAGGATACCCCAGTTGCCAAGGCTGGTGCCCCACACACGTGCTAGCTGGCCCTGCCATATCCACAGGGGTCTGGCCACTCACCCTCACCATAAACAACTGAGGTCACCCGGACACAGAATCTCCCTGCCCAGTCTGTGGAAGAATAATCCACCCCACTATCCTCCAAATTCGTAACAAAGAAGTTAGAGCTGCATTTTTTTTTTTTAATTGCTTTTCTCCTCTGATGACTGTAGAAGATATACAGAAAACCTGGAAAATGGAAACACATGATAATTAAAACATGAATTCATCAAATCCACTCTATCAGCATTTTAGAATTTTTCCCCTCGGGCTATTTCATGCCCGAATTTAAGGCCTGAAGGTCAGGTGGGCTCTGTTCTAAGAAGTGTTGAAAACAATATTAACATGAGTCCGAATGAAAACCACTAACTTTTCTAATCGAGCCCCAGTCATGCGCTGGGCACCTTTCTAAATGTTTACACACAGTATCCCATTTAATTATACAAGCCAGTGAGGTCTAGTGAGTATTGTCCCATTTTACGAAAAAAGAGGAAAAAAAGAAAAAGAAAAAGGAGAGGAAGTCAGAACTTTAGGTTAGTTCTCCATTATCCACACTGTTGAATCAGTGCTGGGACAAAGATACCCCAGAACCCTAGAGGCCAGCGGCCATTTCTACTTGTCCTTGGAATGCAGGTGGTCACCCGCCACCTCCTTTACCTCTTATTCCCCCTTATTCCCCCGGGGTTTATCCCTTGACTTGTCCGGATCTAGTCGCTGTGACAGTAAGTTTGCATCCCCTGGAAAAGAGCCCAGGACAGGGGTAAGGGGTGCTGAGGCACATTCGGGAAACCGGGCAGTCAGCAGTGGGGGTCACACTCACCTACGGAGGAGCCACATCCATGGCTGTGAGTTAAATGAAGTTGAATAATTATCCTGATGTTGGGAGCTCCAAGTTCCAGCCCAGACACACACACAACACAAAGGAGGTCCCAGGCTTCCTCCTTGGGGGCTCACAGGCTGATGGAAGAGACTCAGCCCCTGCCTTGAGGGAACCCTTTTCCGAGGAAGAGAAAATAGCCCATGTTACAGGGAATTCTAGTCCAATGAAGAAGGATGCTTTCTCTCCTCGAGGGAGATTCCACAGTCAGGGAGGAGATGCACCTCCCAATAGGATAAGAGAGACCGTACATCTGCCCAAAAAGCTCAAAAACCAGAGACGCTGTATAGAAACAAAATCGCCCCATTTCATCAAATCTAAGGTGCCACTGATTGTAAAATGCCTCATTATTTCATATGCTGGGAAGAATGAAAAACACTGGCAATTAAATTATGACATCATCAGTTATAAGACATCTAATTTCAGAGAGATAAAAACATATTTTAATAACAAGGTGTTTTTGGCTAGGTGTGGTGGTTCACGCCTGTAATCCCAGCACTTTGGGAGGCCGAGCCGGGCAAATCACAAGGTCAGGAGTTCAAGACCAGCCTGGCCAACATAGTGAAACCCTGTCTCTACTAAAAATACAAAAAATTAGCCAAGTATAGTGGCGGGTGCCTGTAATCCCAGCTGCTGGAGAGGCTGAGGCAGGAGAATCGCTTGAACTTGGGAGGTGGAGGTTGCAGTGAGCCAAGATTGCACCATTGCACTCCAGCTGGGCAACAGTGCAAGACTTCATCTCAAAAAAAAAAAAACAAACAAAGGGGGCGGAGGGTGTTTTTAAACCTACCTAGATGGTTTTTTGTTTAATGGGTGAGGAGTTTCACTTTGGGAAGATGGAAAACTTCCAGAGATGGGTGGTGATGTTGCATAACAGTGTGAATGTGGTTAATGCCACTGAACTGTACGTGGTTAAAATAGTAAATTCTATGCTGGGTACTGTCTTAGTCTGCTCATGCCGCTATAACAAAATACCAGAGACTGAGTAATTTATAAACAACAGACATTTATTCTCACAGTTTTGGAGGCTGAGAAGTTCAAGATTAAGGGGTCGGCAGGTTTGGTGTCTGATGAGGGCTCAGATCTCTGCTTCCAAAAATGGTGACTGTACCTTCAGAGGGTGAAAGGAATAGAAGATCCCCCCTCTGAAAAAAAAAAGGACCTCCCTGGCTCCCTCCAGCCCTTTTATAAGAGCACGAATCCATTCATGCCCTCATTGCCTCCCAAAGGCCACACTTCTTACTACCGTTGCATTGGGTGTTAAGTTTCAATGAGAGTTTTGAGAGAACTATTTAAACTATAACATGTATATTTCACCACAACTTTTTTAATTTTTAAAAAATATTAGGCTTGGAATCAATAAAATATGGTGGCAGGTGCCTATAATCCCAGCTACTAGGGTATGCTAGTAGAATGGTAGTACAAACTCATTGCTGGGGGGACTGAGGAGACCTAGGGTGAAAGGTGGAAATGACTGGGGCAAGCTAAACCTTGGAGTACTTCCTGGAGGAGGAGAGAGAAGAGGGGAGGAGGCTGTGAGCAAGGCAGAGTATACCAGACCTGGCCGGAAGGCAAAGAGAACAGCATCTTGGAGGATGCACTGCCTCAGCCCCGCTCTGCTATCCCATAGGTGCCAAGAGGAGTGCCCCTTCGGGACCTTCGGCTTCCAGTGCTCGCAGCGCTGCGACTGCCACAATGGGGGGCAGTGCTCACCCACCACGGGTGCCTGCGAGTGTGAGCCTGGCTACAAGGGTCCGCGCTGCCAGGAGCGGCTGTGCCCCGAGGGCCTGCATGGCCCAGGCTGCACCCTCCCCTGCCTCTGTGATGCTGACAACACCATCAGGTATGAACTGCGAACAGGCGAGCCCGGGACAAGGGCGGCGGGTGGGTGTGGGCTCAGGTAGAGAGAAGGCTTGCTAGGATGGGGCCCCCCACCTGCAGCACGAACATCCAGGAGGGTGGTGGGGAAAGAGCCAGGACCTCAGCACTCAGCCCTGAGAACCACTTTGATGAAAAGAAGAAGCCAAAGCCGCACACCTAGGTCACTCACCGCTGCCGACGGCACCTGGCTGCCTGCATTTCCAAATGTACCTGTCGAGACTCCACACAGGCAAGCAAGGCGGGAGCAAGGAGGCGGGGTGGAGCACAGCCGCATGGCCCCGGGGGCTGGGATGGCTGGGCTCCGGTGCCACAGGTTCTGAGCACATTGTCCTGGATGGTATTTCCCCTCCACTCGCTTGTTGTCCAACCAGAGACAGGGCCACTAGGGCAGAAGTAGGGGCTTGAGCTGCAGAAGGTCAGGACTGGAAGGGACCTCAAAAATCAGTGGGGCTTGCTGGGCACGGTGCCTCATGCCTGGAATCCCAGCACTTTAGGAGGCCAAGGCAGGTGGATTACCTGAGGTCAAGAGTTTGAGACCAGCCTGTCCGACATGATGAAACCCCCTTTACACTAAAAACACAAAAACGTGTCTGGGTGTGGTGGCGCATGCCTGTAATCCCAGCTACTCGGGAGGCTGAGGCAGGAGAATCACTTGAACCCAGGAGGTAGAGGTTACAGTGAGCTGAGAGTGCACCATTGCACTCCAGCCTGTCTCTGTCTCAGGGGAAAAAAAAAAAGAAAAAAATATATATGTATGTATGTATATCGGTATCGGTAGGGCCCATTGCAGGGCTTAGGGAGAGTTGTCCCAGCAGGCCCTGGCAAGGGCACAGGAGCAGGAACAACAGTGGCAGCCCTTTACCAGGGCCTGGACTTGGGGCCAGCCTCCCCCAGCACTCTGTCCTTTGTGGTTTGGGACATCTGGGCAGAGGCTGCGCCCCACCACACTTCCAAAGGAGTCTGAACCTGTGAAGCCAGAGGTGCTCCAGGCTACTACTCCCAGCTCCCTTCCCTGCCTGCTTCATGTACTGGCTGGCACTGCCCCCAGGTAATAATTGAGGCTGCCAGCCCTGGATAAATGCCCCCACAGCCCTTTATGGCGGCTGCCTCTTATCTGGGTGATGAAGGGTCGGGGGAGCATCCCTTCTCCCTCAGGCCTGCAGACAGCCCAGGGAAGACTGGCCACCTGGGGCATGGGTGCTGCTGCTGTTTGCAGGGCAGACAGAGAATCCTTCTGCTTTGCAGCCCTGCTGCCGGGACAGCCAGGACCTAGCCTCGGCTCCTCTTCATTTCCGGGCTTTGATCTTTCACAAATCACTCCCGAGCCTTGTTCACTGCAAGCAGAGGCATCTCAGCAAGTGTTATGAGTTAGACTGACAGGTCCTCCCTCCCTGGAGCGCAGCAGCTGGAGTGAGGCAAAGCTGGTGTGAGGCAAAGGTGGAGCGCCCGGGAAGGAGACTGTCCAGAGAGGGCGCTGGACCAGTGGAGCTGGCCTGTGCATGACCTGAGCATTCATTCACTTGGTCATTCATTCAACAAACACTGAGCGCCTGCAGGGCTGGGCTATGAAGGGGGAACACTGAGCACCTTCTACCATATTTCTTCAAATACAAAACAATACCAGTAGTGAGGCACAGCTTTATTTTGGTTACTACTAAACTAGGAAAATTCTATCAACTGAACCGTGACATACCATTGACTGTATAACATACCCAATATCAGAGATGTGAAAATGTAGAGTAGAAGTACCTCTTAGAATTGATGAAATATACGTGGCTGGCCCTGCTGGGTTCCAACATGTACCCAAGTAACTGTGATCCAGAACTATGTACTGCTGGTCAGGGAAGGCTTCCTGGAGGAGGTGGCATCTGGGCTGAGCCTGGAGAGCAGAGTGGCAGTTCCAAGCCGCTGATTACAGAAGTCCCACATGGCTGGTCAGGGGACTGGGTAGCTGGCTCAGACTGTTCTATGTGTCTAAATATTAATATTCCGGGATCCATCACTCCTGCTGGGAAGCTGAGGGGGGAGGACCTTCTCTGAGACAGGAAGCAAGGCTGATGCTGGGGTCCATTGCAGGGAGCCCCTGCCACGGAAATCCAACCAAGCCCCAAATTAAAGGGCTATTGTTTTCCTTCTGTGCCTGGGCAACCATGCCCTGTATAAGTCATCCTTCCTCCGAAGGAGTCCTCGATGCATTATTAATCTGGAAGGACTCCCTCTTCTCTCCGGCTAATCTCAGCCCATCCAATATTGATGATTATTTGCTTTACTGTCTTAAACGCACATCAGGTTTCAGGGACTGGGAGGGAGCAGTGGTTCTTCAGACTAGGGGCTCTGAGTGTGCCTGCCGGTCTCCTCCGAGTCTGAGGGGGCTTTGTCACAGCCTAGGCTCCCTGAGGGCACCAGCAGCCTGGCTTATCCATCCCCGTGGCCTCTAGCCTCAGTGCCGCACAGTGCCTGCACACAGTAGGCCTTCAGTAAGAAGAGTCCTCAACTCATCAAACAGCTTCTGCCCATTAGCTGAAGTCAGCCCTATTTTTGTAAAAAATACATATTTCCCCTTTTCTTTTGGCACACTGGCCCAGCGACGGAGCCCCTGGCACAAAGTTTTTGTTCACTTGAGGTTCGGATTTCTCGCCCTGGCCACCCATGAACGTGCGCTGGGTAAGACTTTGTTGTAGAGGGCTGTCCTGTGCTTTGTAGAATGTGGAGCAGCATCCCTGGCCTCTACCCACTAGATGCCAATAGCATCCCACTTCCCCTGCCCGTTCTGACAACCAAAAATATTGCCAGACATTGCCAGATGTCCCAGGGTGGGGTGGGGCAGGAAAAATCCCCTGAGGTTGAGAGCGTCTGGTCTAAATGAACTCTCTCATGCGGCTTTTGCCTTTGTTGTTATGATCACCAGAAAACAGCTCTCTTCTCTGTGTGGACAGAGGGCAGCCCCTCTTCCCGTGAGCCTTTTTTGGCCCATTATAGAGTCTTCTCTTGAGATGCAAGAAAAACAAAGGAATGACTCTGTGACTTCTAATCTTCACACAGTTAAAGTTCAGGTACTGGGTGGGGATTGGGACTTCTGAGTCCTGGCCTCCAACCTACCTCTGCCTAAGCAAGTGCCTGATACACGCCCTAATCCTCTCTATGGGTAAATTTCCCAATCTGTCCATCACCTTTCATTTACCCAGTAGTGGGGAGGCGGGGAGATGTTTTCCTGTGGGTTTTTCAAAGTGAAGCTTCCATCCAAATCCCTCAGAGAAGGAAGCTGGGATCCCTAGAAGCCTAGCCTCAAAGCTCCCTGCCTTCTGCAGAGCTTACAACAACCCCCGACCACAGCAGCGTGCAGTCTTGAGCATCTTTCCTAGGGCGACAAAGTAATGGCAGCCCCCAGCCAAAGAAAGCCCTTCCACCTAGCTCTGCCTCACTCTGGTCTGTGCCCTTCCGGCAAGGCTGCTGCACAGAGGTTGAGTCCATGCCCTGGGAAGGAAGAAGTGGCTGGTGAGATTCTCCAACCCTTTATCAACTCTTCATTCCCTTTATCAACTCTGTAGCACACACAAAGAAACCATCCTCTTTAATACAGGAATAACCTTGAGAAAGAAAGCACCTGTGTGTCAGTGCTCTTAAACGTCCCCTCCACAATTGGATTGTCATAGACTAATTCCAGCAGCCATGATTGTGTATTACCTTTGAAAGATTTGATTTAGCCAACAGATGGAGCATTGATAGAAATCTCATAGCAGCTGAAAGGCAGAAAAATCCACTCTGGAAGGAATCCTGTATTGTTCAGCTTTCGGCTTCTATTAACTTGTGATTAATCTATGTCTGGGGGAAATGGGAGAAAAGGGAAAAAAAAAAAAAAAAAAAGAAAAGAAAACAGAACGGAACCGGCCTGAACACCAGTGATTGTAACATCTGCCTGAGCCAGAAACAGCAGTCCCTGGCCTGCCATGTGACTCAAGAGAATGGGAACCACCACTGGGAAGAAGGGATGCCTGGGAGACGAGCTGTGAGAGTCCCTCTGCTGAGGGACAAAGGTTCCAGGCATAGCGATCACAGCTGTCCATCATGATCACTGTCAGCTGTCACTCTCCGTCCTCTTTTCAAAGGGACTTTTAGAGTTTCTGTAAGACCAGGAATCATATTAAGAAAATAGATATTCCACTTCTAGAAATAGGATTGTAGGGATATGAAAAAAAAGGAAAGGAATGATTTTAGATTGGGTGTTGAGCCTTCTGGTTCTCAGAGTAAAGAGTAAGATTAGCTCCTCACGTATCCCTGAGCAGTCAGAATGACAGCACCAGAGATCAAAAGCAGGAAATGCAGAGAGTACTTAGAAGTCAGCATTTGCCGAACCAGGCGTGGTGGTTCACGCCTGTAATCCCAGCACTTTGGGAGGCCGAGGTGGGTGGATCACAAGGTCAGGAGTTCGAGGCCAGCCTGGCCAACATAGTGAAACCCCGTCCCTACTAAAAATACAAACAGATTAGCTGGGAGTGGTGGCAGGCACTTGTAATCTCAGCTACTCGGGAGGTTGAGGCAGGAGAATCGCTTGAACCCAGGAGACAGAGGTTGCAGTGAACGGAGATTGCACCACTGCACTCCAGCCTAGGTGGCAGTGCAAGATTCAATCTCAAAAAAAAAAAAAAAAAAACAGGCCGGGCGCGGTGGCTCAAGCCTGTAATCCCAGCACTTTGGGAGGCCGAGGCGGGTGGATCACGAGGTCGAGAGATCGAGACCATCCTGGTCAACATGGTGAAACCCCGTCTCTACTAAAAATACAAAAAACTAGCTGGGCATGGTGGTGCGTGCCTGTAATCCCAGCTACTCAGGAGGCTGAGGCAGGAGAATTGCCTGAGCCCAGGAGGCGGAGGTTGCGGTGAGCCGAGATCGCGCCACTGCACTCCAGCCTGGGTAACAAGAGTGAAAACTCCGTCTCAAAAAAAAAAAAAAAAAAAAAAGTCAGCATTTGCTAGCTCGTTGTGTGTGGAGTGTGCTTTTCACAGGGTGGTACCCTCACCAAAGTAAAAGTGTGTAATGGGTGAACTCCAGCATGACCGTTTGCTAGGCAGAGACAGCAGAAGGATCTATTGATGGAAGAAGCAGAAAGGTGCCTGAGACCTTTTAGAATCTCCAGTGTTCGGCTGAGCTGATGGCTGCAGCCAAGACCTGTCGGGTCATTCCTAGGTTCAAACATGTCAGTCCCCACAACCGTGACTGAGCCAGTCTCTCTATGCTAACCCTAAACCTCAGAGGATGCTCTTGGAAAGATGCCACCTAGAAAGAACAGTGCCCCAAAACCATCTGGCAGAGCAGCAGGGCCACCAAGAGGCACACCTTGCCCATGACACCTGTGCAGGTCTCTGTCTCCCCGTCCAGTGCCGTGGGGCTCAGGGAGGAATTTTTCTCAAACTGTAAAGGTCAGAAAGTCTTCAAACATTCATCCCTTACACCCATTCTTCTTTGTTATAGATTTACAATTTTCCTTGCTTTACATCTGTTTACAAATACAATGGATGCTCAGTTTTGGTAAGTTAGGGAATACATAGAGATTTAAAGAAAAAACTTAGAATCAATTTCTCAATCCAGAGGTCAGCACAAAAGCCATTTTGTTGTCATTTGCTCGTTTGTCGATGTCTATATTGTTTTCATAGATTTGATATATTTTCGTATTTGGAAGATTTGATTCAGCCAACAGATGCAGCATCGGTAGAAATGGCTTCGTATACAGGGTGCTCATTTCACTTAATCTTATACCAGTCAACACTTTGAAAAGCAGTTGAATGCGTCTCTTAGCATTGCTTCATATGAATGCCGTAATTCATTTAACCAGTGCCCTGTGGGGAGAGGTGGCATGAGGCCGGGAATAAAATGTGACCAGACAAACCTGGGTTTGAATCCCAGCTCTGCCACTCACTGACTTAGCTATGTGACCTTGGGCAAGTCACATAACCTCTAAATGCCATCTGTGAAACAGAGGCTCAGATGCCTAATTCCCAGGCTTATGTGAAGATTTAGAAATATATATATAAAGTGCCTGGTGCCTCAATCGCCTGGTCACACATTATTTATTATTATTTAAATCGCTTCCATTTTCCACTGTTATAAATAGTGCTTCAGGGAACATCTCTGTGCATAAATCTTTCTCCACAACTGTGATTATTTCCTTAGGACAGAGTTTTAGAAATGGAATTACAAGACCAGAGTCTGAATAATTTTAAGTCTCTTGATACGTAACCTCAGATTGTTTTGAAGCCTTTACCAGCATTTTATCTTCGCTGTTTGGATGCAGGAAACCTAACCCTAATACATCTGTTTATCTTCGCTGTTTGGATACAGGAAAACTGGTGTCCAGTTGTTGTTTAGACTTGATGATTAATGAGACGAAATCCTTTTCTGAAATGATTATTAGCTACTTGCACGTATTATTCAGGAATTACCTGTTCCTGCCCACCCCCAACCCCCCATTTTCTGTGAGAAAACCAGGATCCCTAGAAGAGGAACAGCTTGGCTAGGCTTCACACAATTAGTTTGCTCATTAATTAATTTTCCAAATATATCTTAAGCACCTCCAGTGTGCCAGGGACTCTATTGGGCCCTGAGAAGGGAATAAGACAAAGGACTCTACCCCGTGGAGCTGCAACCTTGTGGAGAAGACAGATGACTAATCAGCAGATAAGAATAAAGAATCAATGGAAGATAATTACATTTAGGGGAAGCCATATTCATTTCCAAATATGCACCAGGGCAGTGAATATGAGCCAGGCATTGGAGACCCACCCAAGGCCCCGTGGAAGTTAGCAGAATCAAGACTGGCCCCAGGTTCCCCCTGCCAGCCCGGGGCATGCTTCTCTTGACCTTATCCTCTGAGCTGGGCTCCAGAGCAGGGAGGCAGTGCCACAGGGAATCAGAGAGGCTTGTCTCTACCACCCAGCACTTCTTTGGTGTGTTATTCTGAGCCCCTCCAAAAGCAGATGCCAAGGGCAAGTGGTTTACTAGGGGAAGCATCTGTGAGGGAACGTGGGAAGGAAGCTCAGGAGGCTGAGAACGCTGTCAGATCACAGAAAGGGAAAAAGGAAGGAAGGAAGGAGGGAAGGGGGAAGGGAGGGAGGAAGGGAGGAAGGAACGGAGAAGGGAAGGCAAGGGAAAAAAAGGGAGGGAGGGAGGGAGGGAGGAAGTGTCTTAACCCACAGCACAGTTCTAAGAAAGTCTGCCAGGATGGGACATCTTAAAGCCAAAGTACCCATCAGAGGAGTCCCAGATCCCAAGAGTGTGCCCACCTTAGTGTCCCTGCCATGCTCCAGCTGGGAGTGGCCCAGGGGAAATGTGGCCTTTGGATTTCAGACTCAGCGGCTGGGGCCATAAGTCAATTACACTCCTGCAGGAGTTCTGAGCAGCACGTGGTTACACCTCGCATCCCGCTGACCATGAATGGACATTGGCTGTTGGATCAGATGGCTGCTGGCTAGAGGTTGCCCCATTCTCTGGAGGTCATGCCAGGGAACTCTTGCCTCTGGCCCAAATGATCCTTTCTCTGGCCTAGACAGGAGATGGAGAACTTGCTCACTGTTAAAGAGCCTGGGAAAGCATAGGTTGGGGGTTGTTCTCTCCAGGGCAGGCATTGCCAGAGAGGGGAGGCCACATCTGGCCCTTGTTTTCAGTCTGCCAACATTCATTGAACACCTGCGATATGGAGAGCCACTGGGTATCACTGCTACCTTCTCATGCTGTTCCCACACCAGGCGTTTGCCTTGGGTAAGGGATGGAGGAAGACTTGGACCACATAGTCTGTAAGCCAAGGGACTAAAGAGGCCAACCTCTGTTTTGCTTTCCGTGTATTCGAATTATAAAGAAGATGTGTTTGGGAGTCAGGAGACCTGTGTTCTCCTCCTGATCTTGTCATCGCCTCACTGTGTGACATCTGGGCAGTTATACAATCACCATGAGCCTCAGCTTCTGGGTGCTAATAAGACCATGTTGCCTTGGCATCTTCTGATAAACAGACAAGGCACTGAGTAGTTTAATCCCAGAGGTCCTTTGATCCTGCTACCCTGGGCAAGCCAGGCTTGGGATGGGACAGGGCTGCTTCCCAGAACGAATTGTCTTCTCACCCTTCTCTCATCTGCACAGCTGCCACCCAGTAACCGGAGCTTGTACCTGCCAGCCAGGCTGGTCTGGTCGCCACTGCAGTGAACCGTGCCCTGCTGGCTACTATGGTGATGGCTGCCAGCTGCCTTGCACCTGTCAGAACGGCGCCGACTGCCACAGCATCACTGGGGGCTGCACTTGTGCCCCGGGCTTCATGGTAAGATGGGAGGGGCCTCTCGGCCTTCCTGACCCCCGACCCGGCCAGCTCTCCTCACCTCCTAGTTGCAATCAGGAATGTGGCCCTGCACCCAGGTGGCTCCTTGTGTCCCCCTCAGAGATAGATTCCATGACGGGAGGGCCCCGAAGCTGGTCTCAAAGGGCCAGGGTTTGTAATATTGCCAATAACAGGAGAAGGGGTCTTTCCGTCACCCCCAGCTCTGAAGGTTGCCTTCCTTTGTGCCCAGCTCCTCCTCGCCTATATCCTTATGCACACAATATTTTACATCAGAAAAAACACAATACACATAGACCGTTTTGCATTCTGCCTTCTTTCACCCACACTTCTATGTTGCTGCTTGGGCTTCTTAATTATCATTTTAAATGGCTGCATAACACTGTAGGAGCAGATGCACCCCCGGTTTCCTCAGCCATTCTCTTACTGCTGAATATTAAGCTGTTTCCAGTGTTCACAGTGAATGTTGCAGTGAGCATCTTCATACAAATAGCGTTCCCCCCTGCCTATTGAGTTATTTCCTTAGGGTGAATTCCCAGGGTCAGCGGGCATAATATATTGATGGCTCTTGATGGATGTAGCCATATTACTTTCCTCAAGGGTTCTATTAATCTACACCACCACCAATTGTGTATGAATGTACCTATTTCAGAATAACTTTGCTAACATGTTTTTAATTTTTGCTAATTACATAGGTAGAAAAATGGCTTCTCAATGTTGTTCTAATTTGCATTTCTCTGATTACAAGGGAGAGTGAACATCTTCCCTATGTTTGTTTATTCTCTGTATTTTCTCATGAATTATGCGGGTCTTTATGAGGTTTGGTTCTGGGGAACTTGGCATTGGAAGTGGAATCCTGTTCAAAGGTAAGGCGTGCCCAGCAGGTTCAAGGAGTCAAACACTCAGGGGTTCTCTATGGCCATATGTTTCATTGTGCTATAGGAAGTGATACAATGGTGCGGTTGAAAGAGTGTGACCTTTGGAACCAGACCTGGGTGGCACCCTGGCTATCCTACTCACCAGTCATGTGATCTTGGACCAATGAGTCAGCGTCTCTTAGGTTCTGTTTCCTCACCTGTGAAAGGGAATGCCTGACTTGTAAGGTTGCTGTCAGGTGTCGAGATGGGATATATAGTGTGCATTTTAGCAGGCTTTTCAGGCGGTAGTAAATTTTCTAAGCACCTGTGGCCCTTGTTCACTTGCAGATTCTGATTCACTGGGTCTGGGATGGGGCCTGATGGTCTGCCGGTCTAACGAGCTCCCAGGTGATACCAATAATGCTGGTCAGTGGTTCTCGCTTTGAGTAGGATGCTGATAGGTAGCCATGGGTCTCAACTTGGCCAGCACACTGAAGTCACCAGGAATGTTTCATAGACATCAATGCCGGGGCTCCATTCCCAGAGATTCTGATGTATTTGATCTAGGCATGGTCTGGCTGAGGCCAATGTGCTGCTAAGGTGGAGAGCCACTGATCTACAGGGAATTCTTGTAGATCAAGTGAGGGTTTGCTTGGTGACAACATCTTTTAAAGACAGGCTGCCTCTGGTCTGCAGAGCAAGGCCCAGGACAAAACACTGTTCAAAATAAAATGTGGCTAGTTCTGAATTGAGATGTGAAGTGGGAAATACACATTGGATTTCCAAGACTTAGTATGAAAAGGTGAATATAAAACATCTCAATAATTTTGTTATGTTGATTATATGTTGAACTGATACCTTATATATATATGCATTTATATACACTTAAGGTATCAGTTACATATTTAAAGCATTACATATATTTATATATTTTTATATATTTAAAGTATTATGTGTGTGTGTGTGTGTATATATATATATATATATATATATATATATATATATATATGTATTTTTTTTTTTAAGAAAGAGTCTTGCTTTGTCACCCAGCTGAAGTGTAGTGGTGCAATCTCAGCTCACTGCGACCTCCATCTTCAGGGTTCAAGTAATTCTCATGCCTCAGCCTCCTGAGTATTTGGCACTGCAAGCATGTACCACCATGCCTAGCTCATTTTTGTAGTTTTAGTAGAGACAGGGTTTTGCCGTGTTGGACAAGCTGATCTCGAACTCCTGGCCTCAAGTGATCCACCTACCTTGGCTTCCCAAAGTGCTGAGATTATAGGCATGAGCCACCACCTAGTCTAAATACATTTGTTTAAATCAAAACATTTTACTAAGATTTTTTAAAAAACAGTTAAGCTTTCCCTTCCTCTTTTCCCAAGGCACATAAAACTTCCTTCTTCCCCAATGCAGATAAAACTTCCCCAATGCCAATGAAAATGAATTCTTTGGCATCTTTGAAACAGAAGGAAGCCTGGTTTCCTCTTTAATTTAGCTTTGTTGGTGTGAATTTCTGCTGTAATTTCCACAGCAAAATGGAGGTGCCCTGGGTTTTGAATTTGGGTAGCAGAGAATAATTGTTTGGGATTAAACATCTCACGTAGCCAAGTGGTCAGGTGACTGAAGCTGATTGCACCGGACTGCTCATGGCTGACCCCTGTCCCAGCTTGGCTTCTAGCATAGCTCTAGGACTTTGGGCATCTGTGGATGGGGAGCATACAGGGAGAGAGAAGAACCTATTAACTTCTAAGATGGTCTGCTCTATGGACTCTGTGGATCAAGTCTGGGGGAAAGGGGAAAAAGTAGGAGTAAGAAGATATGCGCACACATGCGTGTGGGAAGCTCACTGAGGGTTGTACCGTCTGGTCATATACATTGTCTATGCATCTACTGGGAGCCTTGCCTCCCTGTTCACACTTCTTTATCGCCAGCTGCCTGCCTACTCACCGCTCCTCAGAAAAGGAAAATCAGGGCTCTGGGAAGGCCTGGGAGGCTAGCATCTGTTTGCCCACTGCCCCTAGTGCTCCAACAGTCTGGTGGCCAGGCCACTGCCTCTCTTCCTTGCATCTGAGATGCAAATGACTTCCTGTCCTTGAACTTTGGGGCACACGGTGCATGCCAGTCTCACTATGGAGTCCCCCCTGCCTGGGGCTCAGGGCTAAGACAGATTGTGAGTCAAGCTGCCCTGGTGAGACCCAGTGAATTCCCATCCATCTCTTCCCGCCCAGCCTCATTATTCCTGGAAAGGCTCTTCTAGGGCTCTGCTGGACATTGGGCAGGGGCTGCAGGAGGTGATTACAGAACAGTTCATTGTTCTCAATCAGCATGACTCATTTCTGTGTGCACCGAGCCCTGAGGGGGAAGCCGTTACTCTCGCCCTTACTCCAGCTTCTGAATGAATGCAGCTTCCCACAATTAGCCAGCTAGTGGGGGCAGTCTGCAGAGCTGACTGGCCCCAAGATGTCCCACAGTCAGTAATAATTAGCAATGCCTTTGTTGGTGGGTTAGTTTGTGAATGTATGTATCCTGCTTTTATCCTTGAATGATTTTAGGATGGGTAGTCAGTTACAGACTGATTAAAGGATCCCTTTTCTGGGTGTTTGGAGACCTTCATTCTGGGCTCAGTAATCTTGGGCATGTCACTTCACCTTGCTGGACCTCCATTTCCCTGTCTGAACGATGGGAGAAGTAAATCAGTTTTGCCTGCTATTGGATATGAGTAGCCCCCATGGAGTGGATGTGAAACCACATCCTCAGCTCTCCCCTCTGACCCCAGCTATCCCTGCCCAGAGTCTTTAGGAATGATATTGGGACAGCTTTATGAAAGCAGATTCTGGGGGCTGAGAATGGTCTCGGGCTCAATATCAACATAAGGAGTGCTGATGAAGTAATGCGGAACCACATTTGTGAGCTCAGTGACATGCCTGCTCCAGCCACGTGGTCCCTACCCCCGAGTGCACAGGGACATGGGGCAGAAGCAGGCCCCTGTTTGGGGCTCTGGGCTGGCCTTCACACACTGCCTCTTCCCTCCCAGGACACTGGATATTTCCTCTGCTAGGACATAGGGGCCAGGCGGGGATGTGGAAAGACTAATCAGACTCCCAGCCATCCAGGAACCTGTGTTCCAGTAATAATCATATGCGCACTAGCAGCGAATACTCACTGAATCCTGGCTGCACGCTTCATCTGACTTATGCCTCACAAGGGTCCTAAGAATGTACACTTTTACTTTGTGCAATTTGCAAATGAGGAGTTGGAGTTTAAACAGGATAAGTGACTTGCCCGGGATCACAAAGCCAATGGTGGTGGGAGACACTGAACTCTCATGTTAGTTGATGAGCTTTGATTGAAGGATCATTGTGGAACCAGACAAATCTAAGTTCAAATCCTAGCTCTCCAATCCCCACACTGACTACTGGCAACTCAGTTACCCTGCCTAACACTGCACTTTCTCATCTGCTAAAACAAGACTTTGCTTGTGAGAATTAAGAATATTATATGGGAAGTCCAAAACCCAGTGCCTGAAATACAACAGACACTTGGTGAAATGGTAGCAATTACTGGTTAGATATGAGAGTAGTGGGGGCATGTTGCTTCCCCCATGCCCAGCATACCAGCAGGAGGCTGTTGGGATGAGCTGTACCCAGGGATACCCAAAGGATCAGAGGCATGAATGTACACAGCTGCTGTTCTAGCGAGGTCCACCCAAGCACCTGTGGGTCACCCTGAGTGGTGGGTCTCAGGAGGCACTGTGGGGGTGGACAAGCATCGCAACATTTGGGGAAATTGAGATAGAGATGGAGGTGGGAAGAGAACGTGGGCATTTTACATGTTCACTTAGCAGCAGTGATAGAATCACTTGGGGTATGCACTGATAAATTACACTGTGGCTGCCCAGTGCAGTTAAAGAGTCCTCGACCAGAAAACAAGAAATGAGTTTGTATCTTTAGCTCTACTACCTTTCTGGGCTTCTATTTCTCATCTATAAAATGGGAATGAAATTCTCTGCCTAACGGAAACAGTGGTATGAGAGCTAGTCATTCCAGTGGGAGTGCTGACAAATGGAAACGACATCGTTTCAGCACCTTGGACAGCGTCGTGCGCCACTGTTTCAAGGCCACTCTCCGC